TGTTTGCCAACCCAGGAACAAACTCCCAGACTCAGTTGTATCCTCCCCTACCTTGGACGTTTTAAAGAACGAGTATATGTTGATCTTAGCTCCCAACACTTTGTTATCTAAACTGCTCAATTGTGGATTACGCCAAGCATGCTTCTCTACAGGAGTTATGTATCAAATGTACCCAAGTGTGCGACCATATTTTCCTTTTCTCCCGCATTATATCAACAAGCATTGCACCCCGGTGTAGTTCGAAACGTTTACGCTTGGTTTGTTTTTAATTTTAGTCTGATGCTATTTATCGAAGCATTCATCTCGGCAGACGTTCGGTTGATGACCCACACTTATTTCCATTTCATCGTATTTACCCCAACCAACTTACGGGACATGTCAAGTACTTGATTTTATTCCGTGCTGAATCATTGTTCATTGTACAAAAGTGGATTTCTAAAAACATCCTGGTGCATATTAACAAGTGTGCTGCACAAAAGCAGTACACTGTATTGTTGAATTCACACCCAGTATATTTTCTCGCTAATTCCCGTGAATTCGTTCATCATGCGCACACACACAAAACAGTGAATGTCTGACTGGCTTGAATACTGAATACTGATAATATGCAGCAAGTAGCGATGCCTCTGTAGCAACATCTAGTATCTTTTAAGCGAAACTACTGATTATGATGATGGTCATGCTCGAAATCACAAGCTGGCAAGTTGCGAGTCCAGGAGTTTCTAAAACTCTGACACGGATTTGGCTTCGACTATGTCTGCAGGCAGGCTGTTCCAAATATTCATCCATCTCCGCTCGAAGCAGAGTTGATGAGTGACCCGCTTCAAATTTGGTACGAAAAGCTGGTACCGTTGTCCTCGTGTGCAGCTTAGTGTGCACAGATGAGGCGGCGGCCTCAAACTGGGGTAATCACTCAGATGCAATATCCGGTGCGTCATGATGACGTCAACCGTAATTCGACGATAAAACTGGATATACAACCCTAATCTCTTGCACCGGGTGAGCGGACAGTAGGCGGGTGAGCTGTACTCTAGCACTGGTCTGCTAATTGAAGAGAAGAGGCGAGTGGTAACCTCTTCGGACCAAATGCAGAAGCTGTGTTTGAGCGCCAAAAGCATGTGCATTCCGTTTTGGTGAAGCCTGTTCGTGTTTTCAACGGATTTCAAAGCGCAGTTTGAGAGCACGCCAAGATCTTTCACGGGTGGCGATGGGTGTCACAGCTGACCGACCAGATTGCAAACTCGACCATTCTCACCTTTGCTTATGCTCATGAATACCGACTTGACAGCGTCGATCGGACTCATGACCTTTGCTGGCACCATGGTGAAACGAGCAAGGTCACGATGAAGCAATTCGCAGTCGTCGAGCGCTGCAATCACCCTCCATACCTTAAGGTCCTTTGCAAACAACGCGTAAGATTACTGAAGTCGACGTAACTGACGTCAACCGACTTCCCTTGGTTTAGTGCCTGTAACCATTTGGACCGGGAAAGCAGCAGGTTTGTGAAGCATTACCGAACTTTTATGGAACCGTGCTACGCGGCCATCAATATGCTTTTCGACTCGATGCTGCTGAAGACCACGCTACACGATCTTCTCGAGTGTCTTTGCCAAAACAGAGGTCAGGCATATCAGCCGGGATTTGTCTGCCTTGCTCGGATCGCCGCCTTTCGGAATCGGTTTCATCACTGAGCATTTCTAGTCGCTCGGCAATGAACCAGCGGACAGTAAGCTGCCCAGTAGCTCAGTCACTGAAGGCGAGATGATGACCAATAGCGATTTGAGGATCAGCAGTTGGATCCCATCAGGCCCGGCAGGTTTGGTACCGGCAAGACTGGCGATCAATTTGCGCACATCCTTAACGCTGCAATCCATGCTGTCTAGCTAGATAGGGGCGATATGCGTCGAACGCGCTACGGACGCCTGGTTATCTGAAAGAACGGAAGCAAAGTGCCCCGCCAACGTGGAAGCACGCTCAGTGTTAGAAACTAGTGGTTGTCCATTTGGCCCTCCAACATAAGTACATCACGTGTCGGCTTCAGGCAGCGCTTCACATATGCGAAGATCCTCTTGCGAGCTGTTTTTGCTGCGGTTGCAAGCCTACAAAGATAGAAGACCAAATTACAACTAAAATCGGTGGTGGCTAGTCCACCTCTACGTTACGCCGACACAGGTCCAGATGGGTTGTGGAGGTGCAAGTGAAGTCTCTCGAGGGACTGCCCCGTGTGGAAATAGGTCTCAAGGAGACGGTCCAATGGATGACCGTGTTACTTTGCTTGATCTTTCTTACTATACTTCCCTCTTTTTGACGTGAAGCTGTTGGACTCTTTTTTCTGGTTGCTTCAAATGTACACACTTTTCGTCTCGTCAACATCAACCACTTATTTATTCCTTACTTTTTATACAGGGCCTTTCCTTTCCTTTGTATCTCTTTGCCAAGAGATCGGTTAGCGATCGGGATGCTTTTCTAATCACCTCGTGTTCGATATTTGGTACCTGACAGTAATTTGACGATCACACCTTGATGAGGGTCCTTAGCATTGTACAGAATAAACGTTTATTTATTTATTTACTCATTCCACCTCAACAACAGCTCTTCCATTGCACGGCTGCGCAAACAAGAAATTTTCATCTACAATTGTAGGCAGAAAGGAAAGCAACGGAACCCATCTAGCCTCATAACAACTCCGTATCACATAATACATCTTTTTGACCAAGTCAGTTCGACATCTATATCTAGTAGTGTCCTAGCCTAACACTTTGCCTTAACTCCCCTCTACCTGCTTATTACTTTATATTCATCCGCTAATGCAGCTGAAGCATTGAAGGTTCATATGGATTTACTTTGATATACTAATTCTTTCTTTCGCTTTCCTTCGCTATATGAGGAAAATTATACCAAGTACAGTTAACTCGACGTTTACTACACTAGAATATTACGCACGATTGTGTGCTACGCGGCAGATCTTAGTTAAGAGCCACAATTGCTTCATCCCTTACATGTTTCTTCGCCTTCCATGTATCCACTGCCTCTAAGGTATCCTCAAACTGCACCGGAAGAAACTGTGAATGCTCGTGTTACGAAGGGAAACAACAGGGAAAGCTCCAAATGATCTTCCCAAAACGTACCTATTGCATCCCTGCATAAATCCCAACCATTAACATCCCTGTATGCGAGAGCATCTTGCACATGTAGATGCGATGCGTCTCTTTATAGGCACCATTTTTCGATAACACGTGAAATATTACTTATTATTATTTTAATCTGATAACGCATCAAAAAGTGGGAACCAACATGTTGACATGCTGCGGAGGGTAATCGGGCTGCCCGATCCGTCTGTCTGTCCGCAGCCGCTTAAATAAACCTGCGGGCTTATGTAGAATGCGCTATCCAGGCCTGGCAGCCCTGGAAAAAGCAAACTCTCTCAACGCTCCAGACTCCAAAGAGAAGAGCCATAAAACAAATCAAGGTTTTCCCGCCCTTCAGACCAATTTAGGTTGTGGACTCTAAGACGGTACTGTGGCCAGTGTCAGCATCTACGTCCCCAACCACGTCTGCTGCCCTCCAATATAACTGACCGAAGAGGGAGTAAGGAAATTACTGCGTATGTGATCAGATGCAGGATAATCTGCGGACCAATCAAATGACCATTAAGGGATACTATGGACACTGGACTGCCAATGGTAAAAATTACTCCGTCTAATCTGACAGCAAAGATCCGGAATACCTGTAGCTCGGGTTGGTACTTGAGCTTTTGATTGGTTCTCCGATCTGAGTAATTTATTGGCAATTCTTTCACCACTTCGCTTAGTGGCATCTACAATGCGTTGCTTCGTAGAGGAAACTCTCACTTTCCGTGAGGTCTTGCTCTACGCAGCAGTGCACTGAAGATGCCACTGGGTGAAGTGGTGAAACGTTTGATATTAATTTGCTTAGCTCGGAGAACTAATCAAAACTTTAAGCTGACAGTTAATTAGGCATGTATGCATTATACACCGCACGTGTGTGCGAGTGTGTGTGCGTATGTTCGCCCACATGTCGAATATGCAATTCAAGCCTGGCATCCATGGCTGAAACACGACCTTAATGCACTGGAGCACCCACAACCTCGGACATCTAAGAAAGTAATTGGAATGCGCAATCTTTCCTACCAGGAGAGGCTGCAACGATTGGGGGTATTCAGTGGAAGCTATCGCAGAATACGAGGCGACCTGATTATGGAATACTTAATTCTACCAGACCCGCGTCATGTGTCCCGCTTTTTACTGCAACTCAGCAGCAATACAAACCTGAGGGGCCAATCGTTAAAACTCGCAGGACAATACAGTCGTCTGGAGTGCCGCAGAAATTTCTTTTCCATTCGTGTCTGTCACCCGTGGAATGCTCTCCCAGAATCGGTCTTCTCTGCACCGACACTAACAGTATTTAAAAGGCGGTTGGACGATGCACTCATCCACTTACACTTTGTTACTTAACACTATGTCTCCATCCTACACCTAGAGTATACCATGGAGTTATTTGTTGTTAACTGTGGGTGCTGTGAATCTAACAGGATCGCAGGACTACAGCGAAGCAAACGATAAGTCCTTATTTTTAAACTTAAAGTATAAACTATTTTACTATCCTTATCATCATTACAGTTATGTTGATATCCCCACCAACTATCCAACGGGACTTGTAAAGCAAGGCCTCTTCACCCGTATAAATTCATTGTTCACTTTTATTTGTTCATTGTGTGTGTGTCGAAAGAAACGTGGAGCGCACAGCCTATATAGGTATGGCAATAAGTGATTTATTTACAGATGCACTGCGTTCAGCTCGAATAGGACTCCTATTCAGGACGTCAAAAGGACTTACTTATTAAGCTGAAAGCTGAAAATTATTTCATTGCGTATGTACCATGGAGATGTAAGTAACCGAATGCTTGTTGCCAGGCAGGCGTACAAAGCTAAGTTACCGGATGACTTCAACATCATTCAACGGAAATTGCTGACACTTACTTTGCTCAAACTGTGCTTGGAAGCCTCGTTTCTTTGTAAATGGGTTTGAGATGAACAGCACGAACAAATAATTCCTTGTTGTGATAAAAACTTCCTCCGTACGTCTGTCCACAGCCGCAATTCTTCTCGAAAGGCAATCCGGGCCATCAAATAATATCAGGTTATCGAAATATCTCTCCAACTGAAATTGTGTTAGGGACAAGAATGAAAGTATATGATGCACATAGTAAGAGTTCATGACGCAACCATTTGACAACTAAGCATATTTGATTGAGCAGCGCCAGTTCATGTCAATAGCCGTAATGTTCATCAATTTTTCACTAAACCGAGTCACTTTATTGAAGAACTTTCACAACCAAGCTAGGAATCACTGAACAATAATTCATCGCATGCATTGATTGGTTGCGTTGTCACTGAGGCGCTTACACGCGACAGCAAAGGAGCGGTGTTTTATACATCAGTATAGAAAGAACTACAGCGTTACGGAAACGATATCCCACTCTCTTTGTACGCGAAGGCATTGTTACTCAACATTGCTGGTACTTACATCAGCATCCAAAAGGATAAATTTTACTCGGCCATCCCTTGGTACATTCACGGTGTAAGCGCACAGCGCATTCGGTGGATAAGGTAGTGGATAATTCGGACTGTGGAATATCCCGGTATTGTTGGTCGAAACAAACGGCGGGCATTCACACAGGACTGTAGGTGCTTGAAATGAAAAGATAAAACTTCTGCGTTATGTTAAGTTGGCATTGATAGCATGGTGTAGATCGTGGCATTTTAAAAAAGCAACCTGTCATTACTTTCAATAGAAAAAAGAAAGCATCGCTACGTAATGCAAGAGGGTGTAATTTCCAGTCCCCGAGAAACTGAGAAGTGGCTATACCGGTATCTGTCTGCGTAACCATTTATCATAATCATTTCGCTTTAGATGCGCACTCCAGATACTATTATTAGCAATAGCGTTTGACAGCTCAACTGATATGGTGTAGTAAGCGGCTATTCAAACTGCAGCAGAATCGACCACCACATAGACATGCAACGGAAATTGACGTCTATGAGCTAGAACATACTGTGTTTCACAAATCATTATTCCATACACTATTTGACTTCCAATACTTACTCATTTGCGACAATATGTACGTGACGTGAAAGAAAAGGAGAAACGCCATCATCCGTTTGTCAAGCTGAGGTACCAGATAATGAAGATTTTGCTACAGAAACAAGGGGATAAATGGTACACGATTTGAGCGCATTGGTCAGAAATGCTCACACATGGAGAAGCTATGTGTCCTTGACAGCGCAGTGGTACGCGGCATGTGCCTTAAGATGGAAGAAGAAGAAGAAAGACACGCATTTTTGTGTGCGCATTTTTGACGCAGACCTGTGTGACCGACCGTAAGCGTGTGCGTTATTGGCTGCCGGTGCCAGAAGAGTAAAATATGTCAGAAAGCTGACTAAACTCATAACGACCTCAATCTGATGGATACTAATCTCCTACCTGTTCAAGTATCGACCAATAACATTGCACTGGGGGTTCGTTGACTACGATTTTCGAATCAAGTTATCGACAATTTCTTGTTTGAGCTAAAAGGCGCACAACTCATTACGGTGCGATTCATGTGAGGTTTGCCCCCTCCCTCATGCTGAGTAATGTTACGAAACATGCCCTGCGTTGATGACGCCGAAGGCCGGGAGGCGAGCTAACGGAGTTAGTTTAGATAATGAAGGGCCTTAATCGAATCAAGCCTTCCGATATTTTTTAGTATGTGGTTCAGTTAGCTGCTTCCGATCCCTTGCGCGTTTATGGTTTGATACTCGAACACAAGGGTTTAGACTGGATATCAGGGCGACATTCTCCAAAAGCCGTGTTGTAAGAAGCTGCAATACACCTGCGTAGTCTTTCAGAGAGACCTAGATGTGTTACCAAAATATCTTTCCAGAAAAAGTAAATTTTTCTGGAATCTGCGTCAACGCAACATTGTGGAGTGAAATCTGATACCAATCTATTAACCTATCAACATTGCTCTTGTTCTTGCTTCACTTCTTTCGCTCAAGCAGCCAAGCGTCAAATTGCAATGGACTTTTGTTCACTTGCCGATTCAAGAAGCAGGACGCTGGTTAGTCGAAACACTGTATCGTCCTTGTTAATTGACCTAACCTGTCCTGAGGTCGGGTATAGCAGTAAATCGAATCCGCAGTAGTAGTACTAATGAGCGCTGAACTCGTGGACCGTTTCGATTAAGTTACAATGATAGTTGTGTCACCACTGGTGGCCACTTTACTGAAGTACTTATCTCCTCTGTCAGCAAGGCCGGTGTGGCATTTCACAGACTCAGTAATCTATGGGGGCAACGGTATCTAAACGTGTAAGTGAAGGGGAAGGCGTATAACGCTGCGATAAGACCGGTGTTACTGTATGGCTCCGAGACCTGTCCAGTTCGCAGGGAAGACATTACAAGCTGGACCGCATTTTATCACCGGGGATTTCGGAGTCTTGCGCACATCTGGTAGGAAAAGTGGATGGGCTATCCTGAGGCCTGCCAGATGACTTTCTTGGCAAGAAACCTTCTGGTGTCTCGCTCTAGTGTTTGCTGAAGATCAAACACTCTCGTTGGCAAGGTCATGTCCTCCGTATGCCGGTTGACTGACTTCCGTGGTGCACATTACACGCCGTCGTTGCAGCAAATTTGGCGAAAAAGCGAGCTGGCCACTCGATGACATGGCATATAGGCACAAATAAATCGACTGAGATTCTTGCTGTAGTTGGGGTGTCTCTGGATGGTTCACCAGCGGTGGGAGACTACCAGATATGGCACAGTTGCGCAATCAGTAGCGTTCCTGCATTCTTGAAGTCAGTTGTTAGTTGATTTACAATCCCAGTGGATGTTAAACACTTCCTACTTCTATTTTCTTTGCATTCTGTTTGTGTTCAAACTTATTTTCTTACACTTACTAATTATTGCTATTCCAGCGACGCGAGTCTTGGTAATTAGACTCCTTGCATTTCATGACCCGGTTCGTAGTCTTAAAAACTAAAATGGACTGAATTAATGAGCTACAAGCCTATCAGAAATTCAGCTACTATCGCGCCAGTTTCAACGCCGGTGGAATAGAAGTGGTCACGAATCATGTGGCAAATACTCGGGAGGCTTTGCTCATCTTCGCCACCTAAAACGCAAGCTCGAAATCACTCTTCTGGTCGCATAAACCTAGTACACAATTGTGAAAACTTACCCACCACATCAACGGACGTAAAAAGGCTTTTTGCGTACAACCATTGCTACCTTCACAGTTTGGCTCATAACCGGCGGGCCTACTGGGTGAGCAGTGCGCATGTTCGGCATCTAGTGTTTGCTGTAGGAAGAGTGAGTGAACAGCTCAGCACCGTCATCTCACCCATCAAGCTGCAACGGGCTAGGCGATGCATTACCCATACCTGCACCCTGACATCCATGGCGTGCGTTATTTGAGCGACCGGGTCTGGATGGACGAAGAGGATGTGTGACCGGCCGATGAGCTAGTTAAGAAGAATGAAGCTACTCGATTTGAAGTTGGTATCGGTTAAAGATCGACACGCTGATTGGTGTATGAGTGCGGATGGAGGCGCCCGGTTTGAGACAGTAGTTGACATGATGAAGCGCCGATCTCAGGGGGGTTTGTACTGCGAGTTACTTTGTCCATCGCCCTCCAGCCACGATCACAGTCTTGACTCCTAAGGTTTCGCTTTGTGTTGCATTTTTATTTTCCTTGCTCGTTCTTTCTCCTACAATGTAGTTGATTTGTATTTCTGCCCGTTAGCTGACGTGCTTCCTGCATCCCGCTAAAGTGTGTAATAATGAATGCTGATCTCTGGTTTTCACCTGTTGTCAACCCCAGTTTAAGCGATCTGGTGATGCCATGGAATCCCTGTCCGTGTCAGGAACCCGTTGGAGCATAGATGGCAGTCGTTCTCGGTGCGAACAAGTGACTAGCCCAAAGAGAAGTAAAACCACGAGTGGTGTATTTCATACACCACTCGCGGTTAGTAGAGGGCTGATCTATGTCTGTCTCACCTCCTTGTAGATCCATTTGTGGCGTGCCTTAAAATAATGTATAGTTTCCTGTTGTTCCTTCTAATAGCAGGTCGTGTTAGTGGTCCTTATGTCCTGAGATGTAGCCGGATATGTCCTTAGCACCTTGGACTGTACATTGCATGATGTGCTGTCCCATTTCTGAGCTTATTTGACTCGAGGTCGATCCGTCTTTCAGTCAGACATATGGATACCTGAACTTACCTCACGGTAGTGCAATGCAGTAGTCCTCATTGTGGGATAAAATAATCCCCCGTCTGTGAAATTCTGTCAAACAACTGTTGTCGCCGAAGACAACAATCCCAGGATTACTTCCGTCAGAGCCGATACTTAGGCATTGATTAAATGTGATCAAAAATGTAAAGTACGTCTATGTGGATTTCACGTCAGTGGGGCCCACAAATTGAACGTTGCTCTTCTGATTGAGAAATCCTTTTTTACTGTAGCTGCTGCGGAGTTAGCCCATTCACAAAACCTTATCGTCAGTTTGTTTATCTGGATTATTTCTTGACCTCGATGATGTTCTATTCCGTCAACATTTGAAATCCCTCCGTGACACTGCTCTGCATCCGTATGCTATTCAATTTGCCTACATGATCTGAAATACTTTGAAACCATGAATGCGGAAGCATGCTGATAAAGTGAGCAAACACCGTGCTGGCTAGCAAATCAGCCTTAGATGTCGCTCAGTTGACAAGACACAAATTCCACTAATCTTATCTAGCAATATTCGACCACGCCTTGGAAAATGGTGGATCTTACCGCTGTTATACAGCAAACGGTATAATTGAATGCTGCCATTTTTATGCTTCAAGAAAACGGATTAGGTGCTGATTAAGACAAAATGTTATTCAACTTTCTGGTTAGCTTCCCATCAGATGCGACCGCCCCGGAATGCCTCAAAATCGTGGATGGGTGTCATCCCCTCCGTCCATCAACGCTGGTGTAGCTCATCATCCATATTTTTCACCTACTAAACGGTCGCAATAAGTTGCCATCTGCATAAATCTCAGTCAAAGTTCCAAGTGGTTCATTTTGTTGCTATTGGGAATGTCTCCATATCCCCTGACACACATGCATCAGAGTTGCAGACTTTTGCGGATGATCTATCCTCAGCGTTACTACCTAAACTTGACCGCTCAGTCTGTCATCGCCGGGAATTGCAATAAAACTGATACCTCATTCATCCAGGCACTTGGTTTGACTAACGTAAAGACATTTCCCACATGACTTGAACCGTAACGATATTTCGTCTTCGCAAATCATGCCTGGCTGTTTTCTAGACAAAAACATGCCCCACTCGGTAACCCCGATCCTTGTAGCATTTTAGTGTGCACCGTCGTTTAGGGTAAAGCTCACTCCGGTTTACTGGCTACTATGCCCTTCAGAACTGTGAAGCAAGAAGATGGTTCATCATCCAGTATTGTGAGACTCCAGGAAATATTGACTTCTACTGAGTTTCAAGTCTTCAGCAACAAGAATTTGTCTATTCAGTGTAATAGTTTCACTGACTATCTTAACTTTTACTTTGATCTTTGTTGCCTGGTCGAAACAATTTATTTACGAGTGGATAGATTCTCCCCACCATCAAACAAACAACTTAGCAGGGAAAGATAACGAGTTTACATAAGTAAAAGGACTGCAAGTGTCAATAAAAACTGAGATTGCAGGACTGAATAATGTACATATCAAAGCCGTTTTGTGCGACCATAACTGCCGAGACCTGTGGAGACTTTTAAAGTAGCTATGCGGTATGAGCTGCGATATGCAATTTGGATGTTTAAATGTAGACAAACTTACCTATGAGTTCTGTTCTCCAAAGTGAGCGTCCTCCGCCCCTTCATTCTCTATGCCTTTGTTTTCTGGCTCTGGTCCAAGAATTAGATTCCAACACGTTGAAGTCAACCGAGAACTCAGGAATCTGAACTCACGAAAGGCTAATGGACCCGATTCTCTTTCACCAGTTGTCTTGTAAGAGCGTGCCGAAATGCTCCCCGCGCCGCTAATAATCGGTGTCTACACGCTGGAATTATTCCCGACGTTTAGCGATCTGG